TCCCTTCCACCCAGACCCTGGGACCCCCGTGCCCATGGGGCTTGTCCTGCAAGGACAGCACAGACCTCCCCAAAACCACCATCACTTGTGGAGGTGGCACCGAGCCCTGAACATTTACAAATAGCCCGTTCCTTGCTGAGAAGCCACTCGGGCTTTTATGAACATCGTTATGTCCCCAGCCTAATCATATCTATCAAAAACGAACCCTTCTGAATTAGGGTAATGGTCATTTTTAAGACACACATCTGTATTTTTTTTTTAAGCAGATGCTCGGCTCCGAAGCCCACAACTGCTATTTCTCCCCCTCCCCAATTATTTTCATATTTCAACATTTCCAAAGCGGCAATAACTTCCCGCGAAAGAAGGGTAATAGGAAGTCTCTCCAAGAGAAATTGTTAATTTGGGATTTATAAAGGACTTTCCTTAATGAATAATAGTTGAGATCGATCTGTCTTCCTGCCTCATTCTGCAAAGTAACATTTGTAAAGTAAGGTGATCCCAATTACTCCCTCTAATAACTGTCTCCATTCGGCAAGAGATTTCAGAAGAGCCTCGGCTCCCGCGGTGCTGCCGCATCCATCAGGGCTTCCCAGCCCCACTGGCACCATGACCCCCTTGTCCCGGCTCCGAAACCCCCTGGGGGTGCCTGTACCCCCCAAAAGAGGTGGCTGCAGGCCCTCTCTGTAACCTTGGTTGCATTTTGGGAGTGAAATCCACGCCCCTTGTGGAAGGAGAAATGGCTCAATTATTGTCCCTAAGTGCCTTCGTGGGGAGAAAAACGGGTGCTAAAGGGCTCTTTAATCAATGGGATAAAGGCCGGGTGAGAATCAATGCTGGCAGCTCAACCCAGGCAGATTCAAATTAGAAGCAAGGATCTTTTTTTTTTCCTGCTTTTTGCTTAAAATATGGAGGGCCATTAAAGATCAGAGCCAACCAGCAAGGTGGGGGGTTCCCCACCCTAGGGGTCTGCAGCTCAAAGCCCGCTGCCTTTTTGGGGAGGGATGCTTGAGCCATCCCTCCCCAAATGTGGGGCTTGCCATGGCAAGTGCCTCCTCTGGCAGGTTTCCCATTTTTCCCCTTTCTTCCCCTCGTTCGGTGCCACCACTACCGCGCGGCCTCATCCTGCACCAGGGGCAGGAATAAATAAATAAATAAATAAATAAATAAATAAATAAATAAATAAATAAATAAATAATCAAACAAACTCTTTCATGTTGTCTTCATGCACCCAGAAGAAACTAAGAAGCACGAGTTGTACGAACCCTGCTTTAGGTCACCTTCAAAAAGAGGGGACCCATGGACAACCCCGTCCTGGTGCTGTCCCTGCCACAAGGAGGATTTGGGATGTTCCCCGAGTGCCCTGCTGGTGTGCAAAGGGCAGAGCGTGTCCCTTTTCTGTCCCCGTCTGCAGGCAGCGGGCTGGGAAGCCACACGCCCAAGCCCAGGCACTGGGCACCTCATTGCCCTGCTGGCCCCGTGGCTGCGGAGGCTTTGCCAGCTCCGAGTGCTGGAAAGGGCAAAACCCTGTCATATTTGTTCACCTGGCATGAACCTCGGCGTGGCAGCCAGTAAATAAATTGGAACCATCTCCAGACCTGATTAGCTTGCTAATTAAGCTGGGTTACAGGGAGATCTGCAGTCAATCAGCCCGGCCGTGAGCAGTCGGACACGCGGAGCGGGAGCAGCAGACGCGTCTCTGTGCTGGGAGGGGGCAGCTCACGGAGGAAGGTGGCACCAAAATCCCCTTTTTTTGGCAGTGCTCGGAGCTGGGGGGTCTGTACCAGAGCCTTTGAAGCCCCCAGGCTCCTGCCCCGTGATGTGTGGGGGGATTGCACCGCAACGCTTCGGCCCCAGGGCTGCTGGCACCGCGCTCCCTTTCTGGTCCACAAACTGAGAAACTGCAAAATGCCTCCAAAAAGGGCCCGTTCGGGATGCAAGATCTCAAAGAGGGCCCATTCAGGAGGATAAACACAGGGCTGTGGGGCGATTTTGTTGGCTGGGCCTGGCTGTTTCCCCCTTTTCCTGTGGCTCTGCTTACCTGCTGCTTGCCGGCTCGCTCCTGTTCCCTCCTGCACCCTGCCAACATTTTGGGGACCCAGGACCCGTCTCCAGACTCATGCCCACCCGCTGTCAGCAGAGCAGGATGAGGCGTTTTGGCACCCATGGACCCCTCACCCCCTCCAGCTGCAGCTGGGAGCTGGGTTTTCTCTCTGCCACCTCCTCCCTCCGGCTCTGGCAACTCGAAGCCGTTCGGGCTCCCAGCCCCTGTCTCATCAGACGAAAATACCCGGCCTTCCATTTCCACTCATCCTCAGAAATGAGGATGTGAACTGCGTGTCCCCGTGCCAAAACGACAACAAATGATTATTTTCTGCTCTGAAGGTGATCAGGAGGTACTCTCCTGGTGGAGCAACAAGCAGCCCCGTGCCGTGGCAGCAGCGATGCCGAGCCGTTTCCTAAAGGCAAGTCGCAGTCCCTGGGAGCTCGACATTAATTCCCCGAGCACGGGAACAGCCCCACAGAGGGTTTTGCAGCTCCTCGTCCCCCCATAGCTCCTGCACACCACATTACTGGCCAATTAAGGGCTGTACTGGACATTAGGCGAGATAAATTACCGCCTGGTGGGTTTCCCAGTCCTGGCGTGGAGGGAAAGGGGTTTGTGGTTTTCCTGCCGCACATTTGGTGGCTTCACCAGGAGAAAATGCATTTCCCCTCCTAGGAACCCGTGCAGTCCCCAAAGTCCTACTCTGGGCATCGCTCGGGTGGGAGCTGCAGGGGGAATCCCTCATCAGGGCGACACCACACTGACGGCTCCTCTCACCTGATTTTTCATGAAGTGTAAAACGTTTGATTTTGTGTGTTTCGGAAAAACTGCCAGGTCTGAGTGAGGCTGGGCCTTTCCTGGAAAACAAAGCTGGAGGCAGCTCCTTCTGCCTCCTCCTGCCGTTCATCTCGTCTCCTTGCACCCCTGCACCTGTTTGGGTTGCTGTTAAGGAAAGGGTAAGGAAGAGGAAAAATGCCAAGGGGATGATTTTAAAGGAAATGAATGCACACAGTGCCTACAGCAACACTTCTGGGCTCTGCAGCAGGTTTCTTCAGGGACTGCTCCCAGGCTCCATCAAAGCTAATCCTTGGTAGGCAAGGGTAGGGAGACACAGCAAGGCCTCGTGGCAGAGCAGCCACAGGGTCTCTACAGCAATTACTGCTTTGTTCTTAAAAAAAATAAATATATATATGTATAAAAGTGTGTATGGGTCCCCTCTGCTTCTATTACGGGGGGCAATAGTTTTCCTTCAGCATCTCTCTCCGACCTCTGTTGCCTTCTGTGGAATATTTTTCTTTTCTTCCACGGCATCTGCGAGTGCCACCAGCTGAGAGCGTTGCAGGGGCACACGGGGGCAGGATCAGGGTAGGTGGGGAATGAGGGAATGAAAGACAGCCTCAAAGCTGCTCAGGCGTCCCCAGCACCGGGATCTTCCGAAATAATTCAGACCTTAGGAGGGTTGTTGCGGGGAGCGGCCAGCCACGCTCACGGCAAAATCACAGCTACAGCGCTTTGGGGGGTGACGGAGGGGAGGGCTGACGATCCCTAGGGAAAGCACTGCTGCAGCCTCACACCTAGGGGGAATCCAAAGCAGGCTCTCACGCTCGAAGTTCCTGTTTCAAATTCGGGAGGGCAGAAGAGAAGGCATCCACCTCCTGCTTCGGTGGTGGTTTGACACGCGACGGGGTTAAACACGGTGGGAAAACCATGGTATGGGGTATGTAGCCCCAAAACACCCTTAGGAAAAGAAAGAAAAAATAATCCAGAAGCAGTCCTGCACTTTTTCATCCCCCACGCTGCTGGCACAGCCTCCCTGGAGCACTTTGAGAACTGGAGAGAAAGAAAGGAAAGGGAAAACCTCCCCAAACCCCAAACAAGTCCCCAACAGATGGCTACAGAACTGGCGACTCCTCGCAGGTACCAGCAGACACAAAGCATACAGCCACAGGCACTGTTTTGTTTTTTTTGCCCTTGTCATAACCCTACTAATTGCTGAACATCCCCAAATTTCTCCATGTTTTATAAGGTGGGAGAAGACAGGTGGCCTAACTGGAGCACTGGCTGTCTTGTTTCATGGTGCCTGTATGGACCTTAAAATCTTCCTTTTTTTTTTTTTCCATTAATCGCATTTTTTTAATACTGAATTTTATGTTATTCTCTACTGAACTTGATAATACTTAACCAAAATGCCACTCAACTCTTGTTTTTCATGGGTTTCCCATCTCCCCAGTGCTGCCAACCATTGCCAGCTCTCCGAGACCCTCTGGTCCCCCTGGCCCTGCCCTGGTTGCCACCTCCCGGCCTTCTGCCCGATGTTTTCTCCTCTCCTCGGGCCTTCTTCCACTCCCTGTTTCTTCTCACGACGTAGCAGGGCACAGATCCTTAACAGCGTAAATAAATGTCAGCCGGGTGCCCTTTGTTCGGTGCTTTAAATGGCTGGTTCGGGGGAGCCTAATGGAGAGCCATGATTTTCCTTCAAAGAAGTGATTAGACCATACCATACCATGACCTTAAAGATGTTTTATTATTCTTATTTTAAATGATCATTTCAACCAATTTAGCAGATACAGATGTAACCGTTACTGGCCTAATTCCTTGGATCTCCTCCAGAGACTCTTAAAGCCTAGGTGCAACATTTACTACTCTCCCTTCCTCTGGGAGAATAACTGTTTTTAATGAAAGCTCGCCTATTTTTGCTGGGAGATCTGTCATCTAGTTCATAAGCACCTTCAGAACTCTTAGATATACACCATTACAGCCTGGTGACTTATTGCTTTTTAATTTATCAATTTGCACCATTACCAGCTCTTCTGACATCCCAGGTCTCGGGCAATACTTCATCTTTATTACTGGCAAAGAGTGACAGGATCTCATCATTAATACCGCGAGGAAGTGGGGCCGGGGCAGGTACCTCTCAGCAACACCGCAACCGGGACTCAAGCAAAGAACAAAGCTGTGACGAACAAGTTTTCTTGTCTTTATTAGAAAGAGACCTATACAATATAGCAGTCTCCCTCTGCAGTACTTTACAACTTTTTTTCCTTTTTTATTTATTTATTTTTTTTTTATTCAGAATACTGTACAGCTGACACAAAAATCTCAACGCGAAGAGAGAGTAAAGGGAAACATAATACAGACTGGCATACTTAATCAAAACAAAATCATATGAAACAACAAGCAAAGTGAAATGTTTGTCAATTGTTTTAATTACAGTACAAACAATATAAATAAAGCATCATTGAGTCATTGTAAAACAAACTTGCTGAATGAGGTAATATAAAAACAACAACAAAAGACGTATTTTTTAATAATTTCCACACTGTCTTGTCATCATTTATACATTACTATTTACAGAAACAGAAAAGAAAAACAAAACAAAACAAAACAAAACAAAAAAACCTTGCTATAAAGTCTGCCATGTGCTAGGAATCTTCTGCCTCTACCCCAAACACAGTTCTCAGGTGTCCCTACTCACCTGGGCTCCCTTTCTCCCCATCCTAACCAGGAACACAAACATCACAAAGCAGAAAAATGGAAAGACCTGGGGGCTAAGCACGCGTGAATGTGACGTCTAGCCGTGTGGTCGGTCACAGGGTAAGAAGAAACTGAGAGAAACAGAGCACACATCCATTTCCAAGCAGTGATGATGCCAGTTCCCAACACAAAGGTGCTGGCTAGGACTGCACGCCAAACCACGGCCCCACTGAAACCAAACTCTGACTTCAGCTAGGTTGGGATACAGCCCTGAATGCATCCGGGCCCAATTCTGCCTCTCCCAAACAGCTTCGCCTCGGGTTTGGCAAAGCATTTGGGGATGTGCTCAAATCTCGGTGAAGTCGAGAGGTTTCACATAACTGCAGAGTGAGGCCCGTGGCGATCCTGAGCCAGAGACATCAAGGTGAGAGAACGCAAAGGAAAGACGAAACGAGCCCTCGAGTTTTGAAGGACACCCCTCCCCAAAGCCCTGCGGTGTGTGCACCCGTCCGTATGAGCCGTGCACGAGTGAAAAATGCTCACGAGGTTACACTAGTACATGAGAACTGGACCAAATGCATGGGGCGCATCGTGGCCCCCTGGAAAGTTTGTATTTCCCCAGAGAAACGGGCTGTGCTTTTAGAGGACCACCATCCTCTTCTCCCTGCGGGCTGGCAAAACGATGCCAGTGGATTCAACAGGTCTTGAACCCACGTGAAACTGTGGATAAGTAGGAAAAAATGCTCGGAGGGGTTTTCAACAGCACCCGCACCTCCCTGGCACACCCAGCCGTGTTTTCCACCATAGGTACCCTACCTAGCTCCAGCAAACAGTCCTCTGCGTGCTGACCCTGCCTAATCCTTATCAATTTCCCCTAAACCAAAAGCAGGAGTAGCAATGGCATGGGTAACAGCTGGCCAGGCTTCCCTGGACCCCTCGCTACGCACAAAGCCTCAGCACACGTTAGCTGATGTTCAAAGTAAAATTTTGGTTCCCCCAGATGGGGGAACACAAACCCTCCCTCACTCTACCAAAGATCAGGTGCTACCACGTCTGCTGTTGGGGTTTTATTCCCTCCACCTTGCAATTCGGAAAGTGTTTCCAGCTACCCAAGAGGAGCTGGGACTGCTCCGAGGTCCCCGCGCGGTTGCACTCACGGTTTTTGGTTATCCTAACCACAGGCAGAGGGAGGTGAGAAAGAGGGAAGAATGGGAAGTTGTCAGACACAAAACACCGATCGGCTCTGTAAAACGTGGCGTGCACAAAACAGCTGATGGTGCATTCACTGCCAGCAAGCAACACGGTCATCCCAAACGCATGCCATTAGACCTCGACAAGCCCCCCACCCCCCTCCACGCTTTGTACATAACACACAGGTAAAAATTACGAGCTCTGAAGCACTGCAAAATAGTCAACTCTTAGTACTGGAAGCAAACACACGTCCAGCAGGTCATGGCCAAGAGAAAGCTGAAGCTTTGCACGTCAGCAGAGCTGACCACTACCACGTGAATACGCTACAGAGACTTGAGAGAGATGCGGACACGTAAGAAGGGGCTAAAACTGCTGAAATGTACAAAGACACTTGTCTTTCATCTGCCCACGAACAAAAGTCCCTCAGACACTCAGGGAACAAGAGTAAACTACGGGAGGTACCTCACCCACATATTGCTGTCGCCTGAAATGAAACACGGGGGCCAAGATTACCAAAGGCATGACTAGTGACTTGTAAAAAAACAACAAACTAAAGTCATCTTATTTTCAGAAATCATGCAATCCTTTTCCCAAAACGAGAACTACTCACAGCTCTGGAAAATCTTGGCCCAACCCCCCCCTACCCTCTATTTAAAACGTGAGACGGATTCAGTCAAATCAAGATGAGATCACCAAATACCCACTTAAAAACTGGCCCATGATAAACAACAAAACAAAACCTAGAATATCGCACTACAACAGACCTACCTACCTACACCTTTGGATAGTTTGCTCTATTACCTCTCTATTATTTTTTGTTTTAAACAGGAGATACTCTTTGAATAAAACCATTTAAACCAACCTTCTTTTTGTAACTTAGAATTTAAGAAGTCAAAATTAATTGCAGGACATTTTGTGTTTTTTTTTTTTGTTTGTTTGTTTGATTTTGGTTTTTACTTTGCTCAAAAAGAATTTTAATCTGGAGCGACCTTTCTTTTGCTACGCAGCAGACACAAGAACAGCCCAAAGTTTTTTTCCGCAATACGTTTTACCTCAAAATCAACCAAAATGGAAGGCGATGTTGAAGGGAGGATCCGAGACTAACAGCCAGAGATCCCATGTGCTAATAACTGCAGCAGGCATCAGAGGGGAAACAAAGAATCGTGACGATGAATTGCGACGGGCTAGCTCTCGTGTATCCACACAAACCGCCCCACGTTTGGTCCCCAACACTTTCCTTCTTCGCCTCGAGTCCCTCCCGGCACAACGCACATTTGTTCCCCGTTAAGGTGCAAACACGGCTCCCCGAGACATTTGTAGAGGGCCCCTTCAGAGCCCTCGTGTGAAATCTGTGCTTGTCTCCACTAACACTACTTTACACTAGAAACTACAAATTACTTCATTTTTCATGATCTCCATACAAATATAAAGGATGAAGCTATCCGAAAACCGCATCAGCTAATTATACTACATGACAGTGCTGGAGATCATCGCTACGAGTGTATCTGCACTCACACCTCTATTCCTCTCCCTACGTTACTCAGCTTCCTCTTGCCAGGGGAAATCTCCAAGTGCAGCTAAAGCCTCTTGCACTAACACATAATTTAGGGAAATGGGGAAAGACAGCAAGGTAAACAATATTAATGTTTACACAGTTATTATACACTACGCCCAAGTAGAAATGCTTAAAAACCCTCTCTCCTTTCCAATAGCTCGCCTGGCTTTCCGAGCTGCGCCTAGCTCAGGAGACGCCAAGTCACGCCAGAAATAGCTATTTTTTTCTGCCCCCTTTCAGCAACGAAACTGGAAATCTGGTAATAAGAGCCCCTGGCCAAATCTCTGCACTGGCGAGACCCTGGAGTTTCCCAAGGTTGGGTCTTCTCTCTTCACAAATAGCGAGGAAGAAGTAAACCCTCCTGAAGTCCTGGACTACCGAGGCTCAGGTGCCAGGTACAACACACCCGACTCCTCTCCACTCTAGGCAATTCACCTCGTGTCAACAGCAGGAAAGTGCTGATGTTGGTAGCAAAGGCTCACGCACTCCTAGTGTGGTAGTCATGGTGGATAAAGTGCAGAGCAAGTGGGATTCAATAGTATTTGGGATCATGCAAAGGGTTAAATGGGGCACTCGGTGAGAACCACTGCCACAAACTCCATTTTCTGAGAAACAGCAACAGATTTAGCCAGCATGTTTCTGCTGGGATTTCTTATTGACTGGATTTCAATTTGTTTTTAATTTGCTCATAACATGCTCAAAGGGCGTAAACAGCCTGGCAAGTGGGTTCCATAAAAGCAACAAGAGGGGCTAGACACGAGATGAGGAACAGAAAAGGGACAGGTTAACAGAGAGAGAGCAACGGGAACAGCTCCTGCAGGTTCTCAAAGCACCGATACTGGTGCCGCACCTGGGCGGCTTCAAGAACATCCTTTGCAAAGTGCAAACACATCCCCTGAAAAGCACACAGAGCCCCGAGACCTCATCTCTGTCCAGAACTGCGAGGAGAGGGAAACCCATGGCTGAGAAAAAAACCTGAGCCACCAAAGCCTGCCTCCGTGCTTCCACCACCACGGGCGCACGGTCCTCTGGCTCCCAGGGTTTGGGCGTCCTCCCTGAACACCCCCAGGCATCTGGGGAAGCCACCACATAGCCTACAAAAGCACGGCTTCAGCATCATCACTGCCGACGCACACGTGTCCAAGGGAAAGCTTTGTTTAGGTTAAAAGCAAGTGTTACTGCTTGATTAAAGTATGAGGTTATTAGTTGGCTAGCCAGGATACATCATTTTTCCTGTAATACAGTGGAATTCCCTTTCCTAAAAAAAAAATATTTTGTAAGGTTCACCTTCAGGAAGTCTTTATGAAAGGAGCGTACAACCCTTCTACCTGAAATCTGCATGGCATCCTGGCTGCCCTTGTCTCTCCAACATCACTCCCCCAGCCTTGTAAGAGGAAGGTGGCCCACAGAGAACATTGGGTACAGGAAATTTTCAGCTCAGAAACGGAACATGCACTGAGAACTTCTTATGGCAAATCTGCCGACGTGTTTGAAACGTCGGCCTTGCTTCTCCGATATGTTCCCAGGGGAACCCCTGGGCACACGAGCTGCAGTTCCTGAGTTCCCCCCGCGTCCCCTGGTGCAGGTGTAAGGCTCGTGAGCACCGGGACGCGGTGGGCTCCGAGCATCCCATGCAGCCATGTGGGCTGTCCTGTCACTGTAGGACCACCCGTCAGTACCAAAGATCAGGGAGCTGCACGGTGATGGTGGAGAAACAGCAATTACAACAGACACCTTTCCTCAAGGGAAAAAAAATAAAATAAAATAAAAAAACCTCCCAGTGTGAACAGAACTGGATGTAGCGTTGCTCTGGTGCAGCCAAAGAAAGATCTCCCTACAGCCAGAGAGGTCTGTACAGTAACAAGCCATAAAATGACAACACCACAAAACAAGAAAAAACTGGTCAGTATTCTAGTTTTTTTCACCTCGGGGCATGCTTTCCTTCCAAGATTTTACGATTTTTACACCAAATCTGTAATTCTCTGATTTTTTTTTTCCCTTAAGATACGCTGAATACTTTTTCTTCCCTTCACATTTTGTTGACCTATATTTTATTTAGCGACTGCTATCCCCCTCCCGTTTGGATGTCAAATGAAATACAGAGCCCCAAGGAAGAACAACACTGGAGGCTTGGGAAATACAGACGGAGCAGGTAGATTTGCAAATTACTATGCTGTGTGCACCTCACTGACTTCACATAATTGCTCCTTTGCCATCTAATTCAGTTGAGTTTTCAACTTTCTCTGTGATATGCCCTTCCCCCATCTTCACATTGCCATATGCCACTTAAAAATCACTTTTCTGTCTGCCAAAAGCCTTACAGCCTGCTTCCCTGTGCCAGAATCCTAGGTTGTGGAAAATGGCAGAAGCTAGGATCTGTCTGGCAATACCCAAAATAATAATAAAAAAAAAAAATTAAAAAAAAAATCAAATTACGTATTACAAGGTGGAATTCAAATGAACTGTCCAGGCTACTTTCACAAGCCATTTTTCTTCCAGAGAGCAGCCAAGTTCAGAGTTAGCGCAGCCATGCCCTGCCCGCCTTGGTGAAGGCTATCAATTCTGAAATTAATCAAATCTGATCTTCACACATCCAGACTATGGCTTTTTGTCTTGGCTTGTGAAAGCTTCATGCCTTCTGAAGTAAAATATATTTACAGTGCTGAGAAACAGCCTCTTTTCCTTTCTAAAAGGTCTCATACATTTTTTTTTTTTTCATGCCAAGCGTGCCACAATCTCATTCTGATATGTTCCTCAAAGGCTTGCAATGGAAATAGGGTTCACTGCTGGGAAGATTTTCAATGTACAATGATCTGTACTCCACAGATCCTAACTAGTTGCACATGATTTAGTACACATCCATTACAGTTTATAAATTAACAGAGATGTCATTTTCTGTACAAAAAAAATCAATGCATATTTATGATTTTTTTATTCAAATAGATTTTACATACATATAATCTAAAGACACAATACAAAATCTGTATAAGTTAGGCAATGCATCACAGGAGTGACCAAAAACTCAACACGTTTACCTTGGCAAAATGACAGAACATATTTCTGCTGGCTGAAAAAATATTAGCCTTTAATGCATTTATTAATTTTACTAAATGTACTTGAAATGTTTTTCCTTAGCAGTATTCATTATTCCTTTTTGTGTTTCATAGTTACTCTTATTTATTTTTTCCATTTTGTTTTTACACCAAGGAGACTGCAGTCAAATAACACTCAGCAACTCATTTCCTCTCTTTGGACTGAAAAATTAAACAGATACTAAATTATGACAGTGAATTTAGAAAGGAGGGCTCCAAGGGCTTGAAAGAACATGTCTGAGATAATATGATGCTTCTAAGAATATTGCAATCACATCCAAGCAATCACCGAAGCGTGCCATGTAACTACCTCCTCAGCTAATATGCTTTTTTCTCCGTGATGACTAATCATGTTCTATTAAACAGCGGTAATGCTGGAAGAACTCAACTATACAAGTGTAATGAAGCCAGTATTCTCCCTGGACAGATTAGCTACAACTGATTTGACACATACCATCATAGGAGCTTCAAACCTGACAAACTCTGTGCTTGCTTCTGATTTATGCCGTCAAGCTCTTCAGAGAAGAGAATGAAATCCAGCCGTTCCGTTTGGTAGAGGTGAAATGTACTGATGTGCTTAACTGTCAGTTACGGAAAGTTACCATCGCTCCTTTCTTCTCCTCTCGCTCCCGCTCTCGTCTCCCTCCGCCCCTTCCTTCCGCACTTGTAGAGCCTGTGCCCAGGGACAGCCGTCCCCACGGTCCCGTGCCACGTGCCGTGTCCTAGAGAACCCACGCGCTCTCGTGCGCTCCTGCTGCCCGCTTGTCATCGTCGGAGAGCTGTCACTGAAACAACTGCTTTCTCTGCAGCCCCTTTCGCTCCTTCTCACCCCCTCGCGCTATCCAGACGCGCTGTTTCTGGATGGGACAGGGATGCACCGAAGGGAAAAGGGAAAAAAAAGGGAAGTTGTCAGACTCACAGAGCAGAGCTGTGACGGGAATGGAGGAATATGAGGCTGCGGATGTAATTCAGGTCAGCGAATACACGAACAAGCTCCTCAGATGATGGTGGGCATTCTCCCGCTGCTGTTGTTCCGGTTATTGTTCTTCCTGGACAAGTTTGGAGTCGCCATGAGGACGAAGCGCTCATCGGGGCAGCCGTACTGGAGGAGAACATCGATGCACTCCTGGCTGGAGGCTTGCCTGGCATAGGCCAACGCCGTGTTCCCGTGGGCATCGCGTGCCATCACGTCAACGCCATACTACAGAGAAAGAAGAGATGGCGTCTGAAGCTTTGGTGCAAAGCGAGCATTAAAACAGAGGGAGCAAACTCAGGACAGAAGGGTTTGAATGTAACTGAGGACAAGGCTGGGGAAAGGGAAAAGAGGGACAGGGCAGGAGACCGTGCAGATTCGCTGAGCATAGAGCTACACATGAAAAGGTTTCTACAGGGAGGGTCTCCTACCTGGAGCTAAATTTTTATCAGTGGTATTTCAAATAGCATTTCAAATGGTGCCAGGGAAATTTCTCCTTCCTCATCTCCTACACTGTTGCTTGTTTTCTATCAAGTAGCAGTAGACAGGCAGAAATTTAAGTTGCTCTCTTTACAGAGCACGCGATGAACAAGAGCCAGACTCAGGACAGCAGCGGACACTTGGTGAAATTTGCAGGCGGCAGGTTTGGGAGGCCCTGCTGAAGGAATGTGGCCCAGCAAAAGCCACCCCAGCGCCGCAGGCCCCCTCCGCAGGCAGCAGGTACTCACCCAAATCAAGAGCTGCACCAACACCACGTTTCCTTTCCTGCACGCCAAGTGCAGGGCAGTGCGCCCGTCCCCGTCCCCGCAGGTCTCGTTCACCTCCTCCCGTGTCCCGTGGGCGAGGAGCAGGATGACCGTCCGCAAATCTTCCTCGGCTGTAGCCCTCAGGAGGTGCTGGCCCAGGGAAAGCTCCAGGCATTGCAGCGGGGCGAGGAAGAGCTTCTGCTCGTATTTTGCACGTATCCAGCGCTCCTTTTCTTCCCTAGAAAAGCAAAAGGGAATGTGTAAAACGGCGCCAGCTTGGCTTTGCCTACCAGTATGCTAGCAAACGGCAGTTAATCAAAATCAAATCAGAAAAATTATTCCCTGTTCCATTATTTTTGGCAAAAAAGCCATTATAGAGGCAGTTCATTCAAACTTTGTCCTTGCAGCAGGATTTGTGCCACCGCTGAGCTGTATCGCCGTGACGCTGGCTGCGCTGCCTGTGGGGCGCACGCCCCAGCCACCAGCTGCTGTGGGGTGGTGGCCAGACCACGACGACCACGAGGTCTTCAGACCCCGAGCTGCCACGAGGATTGGCAGCAGGTAAGAGCCCTCACTGTTAAATGGGAAAACAGGCAGAGCAAATCCACCACAGGGTTCAGCTGTGCTGCAAAATACAGAAAATGTGCAGAATTTCCATCCCTAACACTTGAAGTAACCCGTACGGCGCTTCCATCCTTCGGCCACCCTTCCTGCACCCAGGTTTGCATTTCAGACAGGACTGCGACCCCCTGGAAGACACAGCCTTGCTTGCAGGGGTGTTTTTTTGTTTTTTTTTTTTTCTCCCTAAAAGTTGAGTCATGTTTCCAAATGCAAAAGACATATGGAGGGTTCTCCTGTTTGTTTTTCCAAAATGCAAACTACCAAAACAACACTTTGAAGCACCATTTCCTCCTGATATGTCAAATAACTATCAAAAGCTTTCTGGATGCTATTATATTACAGGATAACAAGGACTACAAACAACTGCCTCAACCGCCCATTAAAAAAATTAACATACAATTATATGATCTAAGAGATCTAGCCCTAGACAAAGTCCCATTTAGAAGTACCTTAGGTAATCTGTTCAGCCTGTGAAAACCATATGCATCACCTAGCAAGGCAACTTGTTACTGGTGACATATTTTTTCCTCTGGAGTACAAAAGGAAAAGCTCTGTTTACCCCTTTCAGCACTGTTTACACTACTCCCAGTAATCTAGTGTCAGGTTAGCCCTAATCTGTTTTTAAATACTTATGTAAACAGATCCTTCCAACAGCAAATCTGGATTAGTTTTGCATCATTTCCTGGTACATGTGGAGTGACCTTACTTTGACCTCCCTGGATGCTTTCATGCAAAGCTTCCCAAAGCAGGCACTTCTCTGCACCAATGGCAATTCACCCTGCAGACAGGTACGGGCTTTTTCAGAGAAAGAGGGCAAACAGAAAATTAACACAAAAAGCGCCTCGTTTAAATGAAACCTTTGAAAGCTAAAAGACACACACACAAAAAATTTAGGGAGCTGCAAATTAGCCTTTGATGGCAGGCTCTGATAACCCAAGCATCAGTTCAGGTGCTCCAGAGGGAGAGGAGAAAGAAAAGGATTTCTGTTACCATTGCAATCCCTAACTCTTTATTTTATTTTATTTTATTTTATTTTATTTTATTTTATTTTATTTTATTTTATTTTATTTTATTTTATTTTATTTTATTTTATTTTATTTTATTTTATTTTATTTTCATTTCTGTTGTTTTCAGGTTAAAAAAAACACAACACTGGCAATGCTTTGAGGATGATGAAGTAACGTAACATACAATTATTACCAATAAAATGTGTGTACTTGCAGTGTTGCAACACTTGCAGGTCCAGTATCCACCCCAAGTAATTAATAAAGCTCTCCTGAGTTTTTAAAGTCTATGTTGAGGTACTGAGAGTATAACCAATGCTTCCACTCCACGTTTCAATGTGCCAGACTGAAAAACGAGGTGATTCAACCTGTGCTGCTTCACAACAGTAGCACATGTCTGGGCTTCAGGAATTTATTTCTCATATGCCCATGCACCCTAAAGTGCGTGGAAGTCCCTTTCTGTTTAAAAACCAAGCTGCCTTACACACATCTCCCAGCCCTAATCACAGTTCATATATATGCCTATATATACCTGAACAGAGTCAATAAATGCCAACTTCAGGTGGAGGCTTTCAGAGTTTTAGGCTGCTGCTTTACAAATTCCTTGGCATGACTTTCACCTTTGCCATGTGTTGCATGGGAGCAGTGCAAAGGCATGTCAGACAAAGCAATCCTGCTGCTCTTAGAAGGCTGCAAGGGAGCTGCAAGGCTAGACATTATCAACCAAATCCTACTCAGATTATCCTACTGTCTCAAAAGGCTGGGAAAAGAACAGAAAGCCCATTTAAAAGTAAATCTGAGGAAGGGGAACGTGCTGACACCTGCGTTAGTGATGGAGAGGGAAAGAGCTGGATGCAAACGGTCCTTCCTTGAAGCACTGTCCTGCAGTATAACCCATAACTGCTCTGCGTTAACACCGACTGTCAAAAACCCCTTAACTGGAAGAAATTTGTTGCAACCAGGCAGCAACTGAAGAGATAGTGAGTCCCTTGGGAGATGCATGCCTGGCCAGAGCAGGACCCTGCAGCCAGCAGTGGACTGTGCTCCTGGGTTACAACCACTTAAAAATTTGACCTTCTCACATGATTATTTTTACCTTACTTTCGTCTTCCTTCTTGGAAAAACTTGCTCATTTTTCTTGACCACTTAGGGCACCAATAGACTTAATTCATTAAGGTCAAATTCTACCCTTGCAGTCACAGTAATTGACTGGGAGAGTAGCCCCCAAACTCTACCTGAGGGTCATGGTGGGAACACAGCAAACTCTACAAACAAAAATAAAGGTGTTTTAAAAGTCTCAGACATTTGGGGGCAGCATGTCACTGACATCGGCTATCAAATGAGATTTAGATCCTATTCAACAGCCCAAACTGGGTATACAAAGAAAGATATGCTGCTTGGATTTCCTCATAGAAAACTGTACTTAATAACAGAGGAAGGGGGAGAAGCACGCTTGCCCATGCCTCATGGACTGGTAAAACCAAAATTTAGAAGGACAGGTTTTGAATGAGTATCTAGAAAGCCAACATCCACAGACATCCTCTCTCCATCTCTGGCACAGACCGCTTCATTTTGAAAGGCAAGTTCTGGGACACTCTTGGAAGTCAGCTTCAGCTCCACTACACTGTGTTGGGTTTGTCTGTAAAACCACCACATACACGCACTCATCTTAGAAATCCCGACAACAAGACATAAATACTGCAATTGTTGCTCTGATGCCACAATTTCACTTCTGGGATCCACAGCTTGTCTTGGTTGAGGTTTCATTTCCCCAAAGACAGGCCAGTCCAAGAGCAGAGTTGTCAGCAGTAGATCACTTAACCTCATTCCAGTCCCCTGGAGGACCACTGTTCACATCCCCTGTTAGCTAATGAGCTAAAAAATGAATTATTGGAGCGGTCAGCAATAAGCAGGAAGAGGAGGCACAGTGTTTCACTTCAGCCAGCACTGACATACCTTTAAATAAATCAACTGAATAAGAGTACAAAGAAATGAGAGGAAGAGTGACTAATCAGGAGAAAGATACTGAGCCAGTCCCTAAAAATACAAGAAATGCACAATTAAACATCTGCTAGTAAATATTTCTGTTTTCTTCCCTTGCCTGTAATCCTGGCAACTTCCATGCAACCCCTTCAACACTATGACTTTCAGTTCTAGTCGTCTCCACATGACACCTGTAAGCCAAAACAAGACTATTTTGGTTACTTACTGGGATTTTAAACCCAGTGGAATCCTCTTTTCAGGACCAGATTAAAGCCAGTGTACTGGAGAGGAAACATCACCAGGTGCTCAGACATTCCCTATGATACCTAATGCTGGAGAATATCTGAGCTGCCTTTTCCTCAGATGTACTAAAATAATATGTATTTTCTACAGCAATCAGGCTAGCTGCCTGTGTTTTTAATGCACATGCACATGTGAATTAATAGATTATAAACTCCTGATTAATAGATTATAGATTTTTAGAAAGAAAAAAATATATAATTAGTAAGATCAGACTTTGATCTTTTTTATCTCTGAAGCTGTCCATTCAAACCCAGGCTGCAAATATAAACTTAAAACCTCTGTGGATGTACAAGGCCCAAAGTACAGGGTAAGACTGCAAAATACTCTGCAGGAAAGGGATAATCCACTAAGCCTTGGCCAAAAAATACCAGGAGTATTAGCTCTTGCAGGAGTCTCCATCACTAGTGAACTCTAAGTACACAGTGGTATGAATAATGAAAACCCTGCCATGGCAATGATACTGTACATAGGTAAGGGTTATTAGAAACAGATGAAAATTTCACTTCTCAGTTTATTTTGAACTCATTAGGTGCTTGCTTCTCAAGATAATGTCCAATTATTTAAATTACTCTGCCAGCCACATCACATCATTATTATCTGGAAACATAAATACCGGGCACTGTAAGGGGGAGGGTTAACTAGGTAGCATGAGGAATATAAAAAGCAGATTAGCTTAGAGCACAGTTTCCCTCTGGAGCTATGCTGTGCTCTCTGCTTGCGAGTTTGCACCAGAGATGCTCATTTAGGAGCTCGTGTCCTGCACAGCTCAGCCCCTTCCAGTGCATCGCCTGGCTTGCCCACCTTGGTTAAAAGCTTACAGCTTCCAACAATACTAAATCTTTTATTTTCTCTTGCTGAAGAGAATAATTCTGCAACTGAGGAGGCCCCTAAATGTTCTCTCTAGTGCCATTCACCCAAACCTCCGTGCCGTGCAGGTGCCATGCTTGCACGTTGCCATTTCTGGATGCTCACTGAAGTGCAGCCATTTGACGCGGTAGTGACCTGGCTGGCTCAGCAAGAGAACTGCCAGATTTTCTCTGTTGTTGGACAGCTGACAAGGTTAATGGGTCTGTTCCAAGAAAATGAAGTAAATCTAACCCCCATAACTCCCAAACTCTGGGAGCGTCCCAGAATGTGTCATTAGCTTCGTGGTCCAGCATGCAAGAAGCATGCATCACCTAATGACCAGTGCTGTCAGAGCGGGGTGGCTGGCTGTGCCGGGGCTTGCCTTTCAAACAAAACCCTTTGCAACAACCCCACAGATGTCTGATAAACTGCTTTGGACAGTCGGCGATGTGATGTTGTGGTGGGTAAAAGAGAAGAGCAA